TGACTTTGTATTTCATTGATTATAAGGTAAAAGTGGGTTCTTACCATGTCTGTTTTGATCTGTAAAGATGACTGATGGTCTGTGCAATCATAAATACAATGTGGATGCTTTAATAGTTTTGACTTTTACAACATTGTAGTAGAACATTGCACGTCTCGTTTTTTGCCAGCTTATTTATGCTGGCTTCTGCTTCAAGATGGTTGGGTACATTCACATACCTTTGGTCGTCCCCCCACCCCCTGCCCCCTTTTTAAATACCATGAAAATGAAAGTAAAGGTGTGTAAATGTTATCAACTTATAATAACAAAGAGAATGGAGTGGGGATTGGCATGTGGGAACGTCATTGCACGTGAAAGCCAGTTTGTCCAGCAGATCCTTGAAGAGGCTGTAGGCTCTAATTTGACTGACAAAGGCTGGGAGAGAAAAGTGCTGCAAATGGGGGTATTAATTAAACTTCTGTATACGTAACAGTCTACCCAACCCCGATTTGGTCTGTAGGCAAAAAATCTGCTTATTTTTAAGAAATGGAGTAAACTGGAGAGTAATAGGACCCTTAGAATGTGAGATTTGACTGACCTCATTTGTCATTTTAGGGGCCCGTGAGTAATAGCTACCTTTGACTGATGACTCTAAAGAAAAGCCTATCAGTTCACATGTACACAAACTTAAGATTCATTTTCCTCACCCTCTTTTTTTTTTTGAATTGAAGTAATATTCACAAAACATGAAATTAACCATTTTACAGTGTACAATTCAGTGGCATTTAAAACATTCACAATATTGTGCAACCACCACCCCCATCCAGTTACAAAATATTTATATCACCCCAAAAGGAAACCCCGTGCCCATTGTGCAATCACTCCCCATTCCCCCTTCCCTCAGTCTTTGGCAATTACTGATCTACTTTTTGTCTATGAATTTACCTATGGATATGTCACATAAACGGAATCCTACAATTTGTGACCTTTCGTGTCTTCTTTCACTTAGCATAGTATTTTCGGGGTTCATCCATGTTGTAGTATATATCAGTGTATGGTGACCGTTTGTTCTTAAATGGGAGTGGCTAACCAAGAATCATCAGACATTTGAAGAAAACATGCAAAATGAAAGAGAAACAGAAAAATTGACCGTAACTGAAACAGGGACCAGAAGATAATTTTGTTTATTTTTCTAAAGCACACTATTTAATATTCTCCCAAGTATTCAAGATGTGGCATCCGTAAAGCAGTCATAGATGCCATGAGGAAAAAACAATCAGCGAAATAAAAAGAGCTCATGGAGATGAATTATAGGTTTGCCAAGTTAAAAAATATTCTGCAGATCAGAAGATAAAATCAAGAAAATCTCTGAATATAAATTCAAAATATAGTAAAAAAATGTGTGTGTGGGGAAAAAAAAGCAGCTATGGGGGATCAATCCAGGAGATCCAACAGCTAATGGTATTTCTGAGAAGCGTGAACAGACAAAATCGAAGGGAGGCAAATATTAAAAACATGATAAGAAAATTTCCAAGAGCTCAAGAGAGGTGCAGTCTTCATAGTGAAAGAGCCTACCCTTTGCCTGGAAGGATAAAGACCTGCTACTAGAATTGCCACTATAAGATTTCAGAAAAACAAGGATAGAGAGAAATCCCTAAAAGTTTCCATAAAGATATACCAGGTAAAAGAAATGAGAATCAAACATCTCATTAGCAGTAGTGATAGACAGAAGGCAGTGGCGCATTGGTCTTCAAAGTCCTGAGGGAAAATGGTTTTAAACCTAGAATTCCGCCATTGCAAAATAAACTCATTTTCAGGCATACAAGGACTCCCAAAATTTACTTTCCTTTTATCTTTTTTGAAGTAGTTTCTTGAGGATGAAAATAAAAAAGGAGGAAGCTTAGAAATACAGGAAATGGTTGAGTAAACCTAGTAGTCCAGTGAGGAATCTGACAATGTCAGTTGTACAGCAGACCTGGGAAACATTCAGATCCAAAAAAATTTTCTTCAAGAATAGGAAAGGAGTGGACTTTAAGCAATAAATGGAATGAAGAAGCTGGAACATAGTAGGGATATGGTGAAGAAACCATAGATCTCTTCATGGGAGGAAAAATCAATTTCCATGCAAAGCAGAAAAACTACACATACACACAAATCATGATCCAAATATAAAGGAAAATATGTGGCCTGAGTATGAGTAATCAGTGACAAGTACGTAAGGTGGTATACTTGTGCCTAACGTAGGAACGTTTTCCTTTGAGTGGCCCAAGGATCGGAACCACAGGGAAGGAAATGCAATTCTGGTCCTGTTAATGGTATCTTAAAGTTAGAAAGATAACCCATGAGGAACTAAAAATAGTAATTTAAGTGTCAGAAAGTTCAGGCTTGTAAGGGGGAGGCAGGCGGTAGTATGTTGTTTTTAGGTGCCATTGAGTTGATTCCAACTCATAGCTAATGAATGTGACAGAGTAGAACTCCCCATGGTTTTCCTAGGCTGTAATTTTTATGGGAGCAGATTGCCAGATCTTTCTGCCACGGAGCCGCTGAGTGGGTTCAAACTGCCAGCCTTTTGGTTATCAGCCAAGCACTTAAACGTTCTGCCACCAGGGCTCCTTGGGAGTGGTATAAATAAGCTAAATCTGGTAGAGTGTGCTATGGTACACTCCGTGATGTTGGTAGAAGAACCTAGAGAAACAACTGGAAGAAGTATCTCCTGGATAGGAGAACTGGGGAGAGGAAGGGAGAAGTAGGTTGGAGTGTTGTTTCTTTTCATTTGAGTACTTTTTATGAACCATTTTATTTTCTTTGTTCATTGGTAATTGAAGTAGGTAAAGAGCTTGTTGATTTCCAATAAACAGGTGTTTCCTGAGTGTCTTCTGGTGTTCTAATTTTCAGATAGGTGTTGGGAGAGATGGGAAAAGTTTGACCTCTATCTTAAAAGAACTTAAGAGTCTTCTTGCCTTTAGTTTCTGCCCCCCCCCCTTTTTAGATTGTTAGAGAGGAGGTATAAATAATAAAGCTTTTTCTACTTCCTCTTCATAATTTTCCGGTATAGTCACCAAAAGCACCACTTTTATCTCACTCCGTTGAAAAACTTGAAGTGACTTCTCCAGACTCCAGCCTGAACGCCTCCCCACTCCTCTTTTCCTTAACCCATATGCTTGATTTTTGCCCCCTCAAACCTCCTGTTAAGGTGTCTGTCCTTCCTATAACTCTAAGGAGACTTCTTGATCCTCCATCCCTTTTTAATTTCCTTGGAGAAGCTGGTGTGTGTCTGGCTTCTTCTGTTAGATTGTACATCCCCTGAGGGCTTGGAAGACCTTGGCACCTGTTCTGGTTCTAGAGGAGGATGTGGGTGTGCAGTGTCCTGAGACTGGATCACCAGAGATAGCAGAGGGTGGTGGTAGCATATGGGACCTAGTGCTGGCACAGGCATTGTTCTAGGTGCTTGGATATGGCGGAGAAGGAACCAGACCAAAAAATCTCTGCCCTCAAGGAGCTTCCGTTCTGAACAGTATGATTATCTTTGAATAAAAATTGGCTCATGTATTTTGAGTGTAATTAAAGGGGTAGATAAGGACAGAGTCAGTCGTGGGGTAGAAGCTGCCTTTGAAACATGTTATTTGAGTCTGTGGCTTTGTCAGTAAGACATACTGCCCTCTGAAGTATTTTCTCTCTGGAGGAAAAAGGGGACTTGGATGGTACTGCCTAGTTGGCATTTGGTGTTCCCTCTTCGTGGTCTCCTCACAGAATCAGTTAGTTGGAAGAGACAGAACATTGTTTGAAATCATCTCTGGAGAAGCTGGACTTGTATCTGTAGTAACATGGTAGGAGACATGGCCTTTAGTTTATTGTGTGCAGTTTATTGGACAGTAGCTCCCACATGCATTTTTGCTTATGGTTGCTAGAAATTACCTTGATTTGCTGAAATGGTGGTTATCCTGCCCATATGGCATCCCCCTGGAAATTTGTTAGAATTCTCAAAGGAGCTAGCTATACCAGCCTTTTGTAGTAAGTACTTCCCAGAGGGTTTTCATTGAAATACGCCCTAAAATATATGACAGTAATCTAGAGGGTAGGGGGTGGGTGGGGTAGAGATACAGTGAGCCTAGCCACGAGTTGATGTTGGAGCTGGGTGATGGGTACATGGGGTTCATTTACTCTACACTTTGTAGATGTTTGGAATTTTTCATAATAAAAAAATGTACCCTCATGGTCAAAGAATGATGATTTAATTTTTATTTTATTATATTTTTCATAAATAATCTTTTATTTAGTGAAGGCTATGTTTTTTGGTATTGATTTTAATGCTTGGAGACCATAACAGTTAGGACTGAGTTAAAGTTGGACTAGTGGGAAATCTTCAAACCTGTGTTTGATTATTCAGATTTAAAAAAAAATGTGAATAACATGTGGGTGCTTCAATTATAAGTCAGCTCACCTTGCATGGACCTGAAAAGAAAAATTTAAAGGGGGCGAAGTTTGGATCAGGTGCCAGAGAGCTGGTCTTTTAGAGGCTAAGGGTATGTGCATGTTAAGTATGGGAGATGTGAAGTCTTATCTCTTAAATTAGACTTAAAGGATGAGCCTTGCCCATGATCAGTTGCCCTCTGGACCCCACCACCACTACCACCAGTGCTGATTTTGTCTCTTTTTAGGCTGGTGTTCACCTACTCCTTTGCCTCTGCTTTAACCTTGTTTCTTTGTCTTATCCCTCCATTACTTTTTTGCCTTACCTGCCAACCTCTCACGACCTGAGTCCATCCATCTTGATCTCTTCAGGCTAGTTTTCCTATACCTTGACCCTGTCTACCCCAGGCCCAGAAGAAGCTGGCCCACAGTTCGCTCCTTTCCTTCGTCTCTGCTTTTTAGTGAGTTAACTAGTGTTAACAAATGTGATCGGACCACCAAGTGGCTTAACACAGGCTGAGGCATGGAGACCCATTCATGTAAAAGATTTCAGGCAGTTGGCAAGTAAGAATTTTAAATAAAAATTGAAACTACCACCTGTATTTTTTCAGGCCGTTGATGCTCACTGCTATCAGCTGCATCCTCCCTATGGCACTGGTAAGTGTGGGAAGGGCTGGTGACAGTTTTGGTGGGCTGCTGGATTTTTTTTTTTCCTGGGGGAAAAAAAATCTATTTGCAAGCTGTGTTGTTAACTTGTCCCCGCGGGCTGGACAGTTTGAATTAGCTATAGTAGACTAAAAACATGAAGAAGAAGCAACTAGCCATGCTCATGGTTTTCCTTGGGGAACTGTTGCCAGGAGCATAGGCTGTTCAGTGTGTGCCTTGATCCTTATATAAAATTAGCATGTATTTGTGCTATTTTGAACAATAAACATATCAATAGTCAAGTGCTCTGGAATGTCAGGGAGTAACTTAAATTTCCTGAAAGTCTTAAAATATTTTTCCAGAAAATAAGTATTGGTTGTATATTAGAAAAGGCCCTAAGTGTTGTATGTGCTTACCGTTTCCTTCAGTAGCAGGGTTTATCTCCTTCTGGTACTGTAAGTTCCTTGTGGACTGGGGACTCAAGAACGTTTGCTTCAATGCTTAATTTAAAATTCTAATAGAGACATGCTTGATTTTTTTTCTTGGGTGGGCGGCTTTTGGTGGAAACTGAAAAAAAAAATAGTAGCTGTCATTTACTAACAAACTTCAGGTGGACTTGGGGACTGGTGGTTTAAAAAATGATTTCACTACAGTATGGCATTCTGCTTAGGGACCTAATGGGGAAAATATACACTGAATAAAGTTGAAACATAGAGCAGGGTAGCAAGTCACAGAGTTGTATAAGCCCACAGTCTGATTGCTGCTGGAGTTACCTTATGTAAGCTTCTGAAACCCTGGAGCTATCTCCTTGTTGTCAGTGAGTCAGAGGCCACACAGATTCAAAGTTTACCTTAACAAGGTGGTCTCCATTCTAAGCCAACAGATTGATGTTTACACTTTCACTTCTTTGGTCTCTGAAATCCATAGATGATTGAAGAAAGTACCTCTAGAATGTTTTCTGAAATGCTGAGGTTGTGAATTTGTGTGCTTTTAGCCATGAGTTGCAATCGACTTGAAGGCAGCTAACAACAGCCATGTCAGGAACTGCTTGCTGGTAACAGCGGTGAAAGCAGTCAAACACACTTTACCTTCATTATGTCTCTGTGAGAAAATTGTTACATCATTGACCTTCATCCTGGATTTCTCCCAATCCCCACCTTCCACCTCCAGCCTTGCATGTGAAGCAGGGATAGAATTGCATGACACATTTACTGCATTCTTTATCATAAACATAAAGGAGAACTTAACTCCCCAGCAACTGTCAACTCCTTGAGGTATCAATGCATAATATAAGCAAGTGGTAACTGCTGAACATGTTTTGTGGGCCTGTGCTGGAGAGAGATACCTTAAAGTTTCTGTTGCAAACACAAACCATAGAGGATGGTGGAAGATATTTGCCCAAGACCTTTGGGAAATACTGATGACCAGCTGCAGAGTCCTTTTTGACACACATGTAGCTAAATGTTCCCTGAAATAAAGATCTAGAAACTGTCATGAGATCATAAATGAAATGGCAAAACAAAGCCAGATTGAAGTGAGGGCTGTGGTCATGTGGGGCTGCGTCCAGAGTAAATGACAACAAAGATGATCCCACAGTCCTTTCTAGCTGGAAGGAGAGCTCGCAGCAACTTCTGACCTGTGTAGTGGTACAGGGTTTGGAGGGCACAGAGAAACAGAATAGAAAGGCAAGGAAGATGGGCTGCATTTGGCCCCTGCTCTGACCCTGTCTTTGACTCTGAAAGCCTTTCCTGAACCATCCGGAGACTTGAGGGCACCCTTTGGTCTTTGAACTTGCCCTCCCTTCCCTACCTTGCTCAAGTATACTCACTTCCCCAGCTCCTGGGAAAAATGAGAGAGGAGCTCTTGTCCTTGGGGCTTATGTTCACATTCACCAGTGCTCAGGTGTGAATGTGATTACTCAGAGACAAGCCAGGAAGTGAGAAGGGGGCAGGCCTGATTGCGATGTCCTGTGGAATAGCAACATTTAAGGAGATGGCAGACTGAGAGCAGAGCATCCAGTGGAACACTGAGAAAACCTGGTTAGGGAGATGAGAAAGAGAGCCTGATGGAGTCTTGTAAAATTATCAGCTTTAGGTGCCATGGAGATCATGTGGAAATTAAATGACTTTTTACTAAGATTTTCATTGTATAATCAGTTAAACTTTGGTCAAAACGACCTTAAAACTCTAAAGACAGGGAGGGACATGGTATAGGAAAACTAGCCTAAAATTTTTTTTAGAGTCTCCATTTGAGGTTTGTAAGTAAAGGGTCAAAATGAATTACTTGAAGCAGTGGTATTAAGGGTCAACCCTTTGTGTATTGCAACATTTGTTTATGCAAGTGATTGCCATTGAATTAATTTGGCAAAGCTTTTCCCCCTAACTTTTATTATGAAAATTTTAAAACACACAAAAGAATTTTTAAGAATTGTACAGTGGGTATCCATAGGGCTACCATCTAGGTGGTAAAATTGTCAATCTTACGTACATTTACTTCATCACATATCTATCCATAATCAGTTTCATTTTTTGACAGCTTTATTGAAGTATTATTTACATACTGTTAAATTTATCCATTTTAAAGTGTGCCACTAGATGAGTTATAATTGGGCAACCATCACCACATCCTGGTTTTAGAACATTTCTATTGTCCAAAAAATTCGCTTGTGCCTGTTTACGGTCAGTACCCACTCCCAGCCCCAGGTAACTATTGATCTATCTATCTGTCTGTGTAGTTTTCCTCTTCTAAAATTTCATATGAATGATATCATACAATATGTGGCCCTTTGTGCCTGACTTCTTTGACTTAAGCATGTTTTTGAGGTTCATTCATGTCATACATCAGTAGTTTCTCTTTATTACTGAGTAATATTCTGTTGTATGTATATACCACATTTTGTTTATCCATTCATCAGCTGATGGACGTTTGAGTTGTTTCTAGTTTGAGGCTATTATGAATAATGTTGGTATGACCACTCATGTCCAGATCTTTATGTGGACATAAGTCTTCATTTCTCTTGGAGAGATACCTAGGTGTGGGATTGCTAGGTCATGTGGTAAGTGTATACTTAACGTTTTAAGAAATTGCCAAACTGTTTTACAAGGTAGCTCTACTATTTTACATTCCCACCAGCATTGTATAAAGGTACCTGTTTCCCCACATCCTTGCGAGCACTTGTTATTGTCAGTCTTTTGGATTTTAATCATTCTTATAAGTTTGAAGTGGTATCTCATTGTTTTGATTTGCAGTTCCCTAATGATTAATGAGTTGGGGTTGACTCAATGGCAGTGGGTTTGGGTTTTTGGGTTTAATGACTAATGATGCTGAGTATCTTTTCTTGTGCTTATTTCCCATTCTTTTTTTTTTTTTTTTTTTTGGTGAAGTGTCCTGGTCTTTTGCCCATTTTTTATTTATTGTGGTAAGAAAAATAATATATATATACACACACACACGTATGTATGTATATAACCAAAACATTTGCCATTGCAACAATTTTTACACGTACAGTTCAGTGACATTAGTTATGTTCATCATGTTGTGCAACAATCACCACTGTCTGTTTCCAACTTTTTCCATTACCTGTAACAGAAACTCAGTGCCCCTAAGCAGTGACTCTGCCTTTTCCCCTTCCTGTCACTCCTGGTCCACTGATGAACTTTGGTCTGTATACATTTGCCTATTCTGGATGTATCATATAAGACGGATCATACAATATTTGTCCTTTTGTAACTGACTGATTTTACTTAGCATAATGTTTTTTTTAAGTTTCATCCCTGTTGTAGCATGTACGAGGACTGCCCATTTTTTAAAATTGTTCCGTGTTTCTAAGAGTGCTTTATATATTCTGAATTAAGTCCTTTTTCAGATAACATGGTTTGTAAATATTTTCTTCCAGTCTATGGCTTGTTTTCTCATTTTCTTAATGATGTCTTTGAAAGAGCAAAAGTTTAATTTTGATTAAGTCCAGTTTATTGATTTTGTTTTAAAAGATTGTGTTTCTGATGTTATAATTAAGAAAACTTTGCTCAAACCAAAGTCACAAAGATTTTATGTTTCCATCTAGAGGTTTTATAGTTTTGTGTTTTACATTTAGGTCTGTGAACTATTTTGAGTTAATTTTTGTGTGGTTTGAGGTAAGAGTTTTACGTTTTTTTTTTTTAAATATAATGATGTTCATTTAGTCCAGAGCTCTTAGTTGAAAATTGACCGTAATTTATAGGTTTACTTCTAAATTTTATTCTGTTCTATTAATCTATATGTCTGTCCTTCAGCCAGTACCCCACTGTCTTGATGACTGTAGTGTTAAAGTCAGTCTTGAAGTCTGATGTTCTAAGTCCTCCAACTTTGCTTTTTTTTTTCTCCCCCGGCAGGATTGCTTCAGATATTCTGGATCCCTTTACATTTTCACGATTTTTTAGGTCAACTGTTAATTTCTTCAAAAAATCCTGCTGAGATTTTTACTGGAGTTGATTCAGTCTGTAGTTGTGCTAACCTATATGGTAGCCATGACCACGGGTGGCCATTGAGCACTTGAAATGTGGCCAGTCTGAATTGAGATGTGCAATACATGTAAAATGCACTCTAGATTTTGAAAACATAGTATGAAAAGAAGGATGTAAAATAGCTAATTAATAATTATATGTGTTACATGTTGAAATAATAGTATTTTGGATATATTGAGTTAAATAAAATATTAAAATGTATTGCAACTGTTTAAAATTTTTTATTTTTAAATTGTTTGCTGCTATATAGGAATATATTTGATTTTTGTGTATTGACCTTGTATTTTGTGACCTTACTAAATTCACTTACTAGCTCTAATAGTTTTGTAGATTCCTTTAGGATTTTTCTGCATGAACAGTCATTTCATCTGGGAATAGGGACAGATTTGGTTCTTCCTTTTCTTGCCTTATTATAGTGGTTAGGGCCTCCAGTATAATAAATGAAATGGTGAGAGCGGACATACTTACCATTTTTTTAATCCTATGGAGGAAAAACATTCATTATTTCAT